TTAGTAGTTTACATTTAACACAGTACTGTACTGTATTTGCGTCCCCGTTCCCCCCCCTTTTTTTTTTTTTTTTTTGTCTCTGCTGCTGCCTGATTGTGTACTTCCGGTTCGAAATGAGGTATATGGTTGACTGATCAGTTCGTAACTCTGGGGTTCTTGGGCTAATGTGCCCTACCTGTATGGATTCTAGCCTTGGCCGTACAGGCCTGGCTGGCCTCAACACTGAAGAACCCCAAGCCATCATTCAGCTTCTCTGAAGGAACCTGCATTTTAATTGTGTCAGAAAAGCCCTCAGGGACTTGTTCCTTCCCCTGTACCTCAAGTGGCTGTGAAGTTTCAACAGCCTGTCTCTGAAGAGGAGGATGGAGGAGTGCAGGATGACACTTCTCTACTCTAAGTTTTCTCATAATCTTCACTGGACAAAACCATGATCTCCTACGTTCTTTAAAAGCTCTTGATTCATCTTAAAATCATCCATTATTTTAGGAGAGTAGAAGAGGCTCTGGAAGCTTCCTTGGACCTGGTACAGGAGAAAATATACAAGCTATTTCATATCCTGCAACCAGCTGTACAGAGCAGAATAGTCCTCCCATTTACTAAGAGAATCCTCCAGCCAGTGGAGTATTTGTGGGCCATCACCCACAATCTCATAGCAATCTCAGAAGGGTGAATGAAAATACCAGTTCTCCCCTTAGGGATCTGAATATTTCGATTCACTTCTGATGCAGTGTTGGAATGACTATTTATGCAGGGTATTACAACTACACTAATTTAACCATAAGTTCCTTATTAAATCTAAAGACCAAATGGTACTTATACAATAGCTATATACATTCCTAAAAAGTCTACATTATAAGCAATTTACTAATCCAAACAGTAACAAAATATTTATAAGCATTCGATCAAGATACTTACAAACAGGCTAAGCTCAAGGGTTTAGACCCACAATGGTCCGCTCTAGCTTTGGTCATATGGTTTATCTGTGTCAAGACTCTCTAAGGAAGTGCAGACTACAGTGCAAGACTTGACGTTTAATGGGAAGGACATGTTCAGTCCAAAGACAGACACAAAGTTGCACTCCAAGGATTCTTGGACCATGCTCGGATCTTTGGGCCTTTACATCCCAAATTTTAGAAAAAAGTATTATAAATCCCAGTTCTCTTCTAGGCAGAAATGCTAATCAACTACTGCATCTTTTTAACCATCAGAAACAATCAAGCCAGTTCAGAAAAAGAGAGGTTCCAAAAGAGAAAAACAGCCTTGTCATCTACTATCCAACCATCTCAGTCACAGAAGCAATAATTTTGATGCTTTGGTTGGGTATATGGCACAGAACAATGTGGATCTGTATCCCTCTCTCTTGCCCCTCTTCCTGTTTTGGTTCCTGCCTCTCTTCGCGGATGTCTGGACTGCAATAACATCAGACTGTTGGGTCTTGTAGGTAATCCAAGAGGGACATACCCTCCAATTTCGTACCTTCCCCCATCTCTTTTCAAGAAATTATGTCACATGAGTCTCATGCACCAAGAAATACATTCTCTACTGGAACTGGGTGTGATAGAGCCTCAACTGTTAGCCGTCAGAGAGAGAGGATTTTATTCCCCTTATTTTCTTGTATTAAAGAAGAAAGGAGCTGGTGACCCATACTAAATCTCAGGCTCCTCAGATAACCAGTGTCAAATTTCACCTGGTGACTCTTGCATCCACCATACCCTCTTTAGATGACACGTACTGGTTCAGTACCCTTAACTTGCCTGGCACATATTTTCATGTGCCAATACATCCATTGCACAAGAAGTTTCTTTGCTTTCTGTTAGTTCAGGGTCCTCCCGTTTGGCCTCTAAGCTGCACCTCGAGTTTTTACAAAATGTCTGTCAGTAGTAACCACCTGTCTGCAATTTCAGTGTGTTTACTGCACCCATTACTGTCTGTGTATGTGGATCCTACAATCCCTCCATCCTCGCAGCTCAGGGATTCTTCATGGGATGCTGGGTGGGGAAGGAACCTCAGTGCTGGGTGGCATTGGTTCACCCTTATGCCCTTAGAAGGGAGCATGAGGGCATGAAGTATACATGTGTGACCCTTGTTGGGCACTATCAATCTTCCAAACTGTGCAGGGGCACCAGAGCACAATGTGCAGTATCCACATGCTTAGAACATCTCAAAGAACAGTTACTATAAGGTAAACAACCCTTCTTTTCTCATATCCTCTCAGTAGTTGTTACAAGTCTCTGTGGAGCATGTGACTTGCTGTGCCCATATAAGTCACCTCTATGACAGCATAACTGCATAGTCACTGAAGCTTTTACTGGTATAACTATTCTGGTAGAATATCACACCCCTAGTTAAAATAGTTATACCATTGAAACTTTAAAGTGTTGAGATAAGAACCCAATCAAAATCCTAGATTTGAAAACCCTGGACTTTGGAGAAGCTTTTATCTGGGGCCAACATTTTGTTGTTGTTTTGGAACCATCTCTGCTGTTGTTAGATCATCTTTAGACTCTTTCCCACTTAAAACAAAGAATGCATTCATACTGTTGTGTGAACTCAACAGGGCATAAAACAAAATACTTTATAATCATACTTTGCAAAAACCTCCAGGCTTGCTCTTAAAATCTTTCTGCAGCTATGAGTAACTTAAAAAATGATAAAGGTAGTTAAAGGAATGTAAAATCGTACCTCCTTTCCTACCAAAAAGTGAATACATCCTTAATATACAGTCTCTGTTACCTTTGCATCCCAAATTCATGAACTTGGGACTGTTTTGTAGGAAGTGATTCTAGGGGCATGCAGAAGTATAGCTCTAACACCCTTTTTTTGGTCAAGCTCCAGCAACCTGCTTCATTCTCTAGAAAATTAACTATTTTTATGTTTATATTGCAGTAGTACTTAGAATGTACTAATAATTTCCCATTTGCAGAAGTTAGTCTCTACTATTGACTGATTCTACTAGTCCTTCTAGTACTTTCAGCTTATTGCTATACAGTGATGATTTTATCCACATCATATATCACTAAGGCTATCTACACTACTCTCCTGCCATTACTCATCAACCATGAAGCACCAATAGTGGTAGCAGGAGAGAATAGCAGCTTAGACAAGGTATAGGAGATTTTTTCACTGTCCTCTAATCCTAGGTGACATGATGGTAAAAAAATTAATTAATAAAAATAAATAAAAAACAAAAATTAAAAAATAGGTGTCCTGTCAACACTAGCAACAGTTTCATTGTTGCCATCACTGTAAGGGTGATAATGCAATGGTGGGAGACTTCCCAAAGAAGTGTAGATAGTGCCTAAGAGACCAGGATAATGAGTTTTCTCTACTTTGGCTTTTGACTCAGCAAATTCTCTCTCTGCCACAAAAATCACTACTTTAAAAGATGTAAATAATGCTTAGTGTATTTTGCTTGGTATCCTTAATTGTGCTCTCATGCTCTTCTAATGAGTGTCTGTAGTGATTCTTAAAGTTGGATTAAATGTGTTATTTTCACGATAATATAATTTAGCCATTAGTATTTAATGTTTGCTGTTGAAATAATTATGCCATTCAGAAAAAGTAATTCAAGATGGATTATCGGCAGTCTAGTTTGTACTAAAAACAAAGAAATAACTGGATAGAAAATGGTGTTGAGCATTTAGCTGAGTGGAACAAATCCCACAATGCTGTTTCTCCCCAGTGCAGTTTTACCTATTACATCTCTGCTCATTTTCCAGCAAACTAATGTTGGAGTACTGTCTAGTCTACATTTGAAACTAGTGGAAACGAGTAATCTCTTGAGAAATATTCTTTCACTTTTAATACTTGGGGCTCCAATTTGGCCAGTGAAGTTTCCTTGGTGCCATGTCCCCCAGAGCCAACTGAATACACAGCAATCTTCTGCAGACTTACTTTCTGCCAGTTAAGTTCATAATGTTAAAGCCACCAAAGAAGCAAACATCAATATCATCAGCATAATAGTCAGTTAAGCACAACCTTGAGTCTGTTACAATATGATGTTTATTATACAAATAAAAAGGCAACCATAATCTGAAGCAAAAAAGCAGGTGGGTGACGTGGAAGACTACTAAAAATCTTAATATTATTGACACTAGATTCTGGAAGTTTTTTTATACAGCAGATTCAGGAATAAATGACTTTTCTAGATTTTTCATATAAAACAGAGGTTTCCATAATCCGTTGTGATTTTTAAGTGTTTTAAACTAAATAGACCAGGAGTACTCACTTCAGTAACCCACTCTGCAAACTGATTTCTTGGTTTGTTTGTCACTGAAGATCAGTTCATTGAGGTGGCAGCAGGCCCTGTGTGAACTACGTCATAGGAGAATACCACAGTATTCTCTGGTCTAATTTCAGGGACTCTGTACTATCTTGAAGCAGGCAAGGCCACTTATAATTGTTCAGTGGTACTTTTTCCCCTTCTGCTTCTCTGATGAGGATTCCTGGTGATGCAGGCTTTGTGATCCCATAGCATATCTGCTTGGAAATCACAGGAAGTAGAACTTAACACTTCGTTGCATAGGTTTTTCTTTTGTGGACCAAGCTTGACAAATTTTAGGCATCACTTTCTACTATGACATAAATTAATCTATTTAGGATTGTGGAAGCCCACCTCTTGTCGTTGGAGAAACTCTACCAGTGATCAATTCAAAGCAATAATTTTCTACCTTAAAAAAATTCTGTATTGCGTAGTAGTTAAATTGTTTTTGAACTCATGTGATCCATATGCTAACTACTTATTTTAAAAAAAAGAAAAGGGGAGGAGGGGGAGGGGAACTGGAGTGCGACACATACTCCACAGAGGCACTGGCTTTCAGACCTAATGTGATGGTGGTCTGTCTTCATTTATTTTCTTATATTTGTTTGATTTGCTGGGTTTTTTTCTTCCATTTCAATGTAATATGTATATAATTAACATACATTAAAAACACACAGAGATATAAGAAGGTGTATAAAAATAAGTAAAACTAATGTCTTATATTAACTTTTTTTAATAGATAAAATAATTAGACACAGAGCTTGTACCTTGAAGGACACAGCACATGCCATAATTGCTGCAGAGCTGGATCCCGAATTTAATAAAATGTGTGAAGAAATCAAGGAAGCGAGACGAAAAAGAGGTACGTTTTTTACCTTTTAAGAAATATTTATTGTAATGCAAAATATCAGATAATGTAGTTAAATAAAAATAGGCAAAGTCAAAACTAAAAAATATAAACGTTTGTATAAAAATTTGAGAAGCTTAAAAGCTTAAGTGGGTGTACTAGGATGCCTGGCAGAGGAAAAAATTATTGATATAAAAGGTATTACTGAACATGGTGGAATAATGTAATACTTGGCTATAAACTATACAGAAAGGACAGATTAGGTGGAGCGTGGTTGGTGCTGTATCTAAAAAGTTTCCATAGGATCTGGTGGGATAAATATCCTGATTGTAGAGCACTGCAGTTGGATATATATGGATTCAGATCCCAGCTGCAAGAGTACAAATATGCCTCTGGATCAAGAAAAGAATACTGAGTGCACAATGTTGAGAGAGTTCAGACAGGCAGCAAAATCTAACAAAAAAAACAGTAATGGGGACTTCACCTATCCACATATAACCTGGTCAAATGTCACAATGAGCAGAAAAGAAATTTTGTTAAATTTTAAATGAATGCTTCTTGAAACAACCTTCTAGAGCACATAGTAGTAGATGCTATTCTCAACATAGACCCAAGTGACCACAATATAATTACCATCTTGCAGGGGAGGAAAGGTATCAAAAACTAACACAATGACACTAAACTTTAGAAAGGGCGTTTTCAGTAATATCAATAAGCTAGTCAAAATAGCCCTAAAATCAAAAGGTAAGGAAATAAAGTTTAGATTTAGCGTGGATGCTACTTAAGAAAACCATAGTTTCATAGATTCTAGGGCCAGAAGGCACCATTGTGATCATCTAGTCTGATGTCCCTAAATTCCTGTTGAAATAGAGCATATTCTTTTTATAAATATCCAATAGAATCATAGTGTATCAGGGCTGGAAGGGACCTCAGGAGGTCATCTAGTCCAACCCTCTGCTCAAAGCTAACTAAATCCCCAACTAAATCATCCCAGCTAGGGCTTTGTCAAGCCTGACCTTAAAAACATCTAAGGAAGGAGATTCCACAGTCTCCATAGGTAACCCATTCCAGTGCTTCACCACCCACCTAAAAAAAAGTTTTTCCTAATATCCAATCTAAACCTCCCTATAAGTGTGTGGGACTCACCCCTGTGGTGCCTCCTGCTGGTGTCCTGGGACTTAGCTCTACTTCCAGCTTTGGAGCTTTGTTGATTCCCCTGTTTGTACATCCAAGGATTGCATTATGCTTTTTGGCCATAACATCACACTGGGAGATCATGTTCAGCTTATTATTCACTATGACCCCGAGCCTTTTTCAGAGTCACTTCTTTCCAGGATAAAGTCCATCTTGTGAGTAAAGCCTACATTATTTTTTTCTTGATGAATAACTTTGTTTGGTGTTTCAGAGTAGCAGCCGTGTTAATCTGTATTCACAAAAAGAAAAGGAGTACTTGTGGCACCTTAGAGACTAACCAGTTTATTTGAGCATAAACTTTCGTGAGCTACAGCTCACTTCATCGGATGCATAAAGTGGAAAGTACAGTGAGGAGATCTTATATGTACACACAGGCCATGAAAGAATATACATTGTACGGAGAGTGATCACTTAAGATGAGCTATTACCAGCAGGAGAGTGGGGTGGGGGAGAGAAAACCTTTAGAAGTGATAATCAAGGTGGGCCATTTCCAGCACATTTCCAGGAGTTAACAAGAACGTCTGAGGAACAGTTGGAGGGGAGAAATAAACAAGGGGAAATAGTTTCACTTAGTATAATGAATCAACCACTCCCAGTGTCTATTCAAGCCTAAGTTAATTGTATCCAATTTGCAAATTAATTCCAATTCAGCAGTCTCTCATTGGAGTCTGTTTTCAAAGTTTTTTTGTTGAAGGATAGTCACTTTGAGATCAGAAATCGAGTGACCAGAGAGATTGAAGTGTTCTCCGACTGGTTTATGAATGTTATAATTCTTGACATCTGATTTGTGTCCATTTATTCTTTTACGTAGAGACTGTCCAGTTTGACCAATGTACATGGCAGAGGGGCATTGCTGGCACATGATGGCATATATCACATTGGTAGATGTGCAGGTGAACGAGCCTCTGATAGTGTGGCTGATGTGATTAGGCCCTATGATGGTGTCCCCTGAATAGATATGTGGGCACAGTTGGCAACGGGCTTTGTTGCAAGGATAGGTTCCTGGGTTAGTGGCTCTGTTGTGTGGTGTGTGGTTGCTGGTGAGTATTTGCTTCAGGTTGGGGGGCTGTCTGTAGGCAAGGACTGGCCTTTCTCCCAAGATTTGTGAGAGTGATGGGTCGTCCTTCAGGATAGGTTGTAGATCCTTGATAATGCGTTGGAGAGGTTTTAGTTGGGGGCTGAAGGTGACGGCTAGTGGTGTTCTGTTATTTTCTTTGTTGGGCCTGTCCTATAGTAGGTGACTTCTGGGTACTCTTCTGGCTCTGTCAATCTGTGGTATGTGTGTATATATAAAATCTCCTCACTGTACTTTCCACTTTATGCATCCGATGAAGTGAGCTGTAGCTCACGAGAGCTTATGCTCAAATAAATTAGTTAGTCTCTAAGGTGCCACAAGTACTCCTTTTCTTTTTGTTTGGTGTATTGAGACACACTGTTTGCTTACACCATGCTTTAACAATTGATCCAGATAACTGTGTGTCAGTGACCTGACCTTTTTCTTTATTTATCACTACCCCATTTTGAGTCATCTGCAAACCTTATCAATAGTGATTTTGTTCCAGGTCATTGACAAAAATGGTAAACAGCGTACAGCCATGAACTGGTCCTTCTGGAACCACACTAGAAGCCCACCTGCTCAGTGATGATTTCCCATTTCCAGTTTTGTTTTGAAACTTAACAGTTAGCCAGTTTTTAATCCATTTCATGTGTTCCATATTGATTTTGTATTGTATTAGTTCTTTAATCAGTATGTTATGCAGTACCAAGTTGCATACCTTACAGAAGTCTCTTACATCAATGCTATTAACTTTATCATGGCTACCCCCTGATACTTGTCAACCAAATCTGTAACCTAATCAAAAAACATACCAACTTAGTTTGACAGGATCCATTTTCCACAAACCCGTGCTTTCCACAAACCCATAGTTATCTTTAATTCTTTAATTCTCCTTTAATTCTTTATTAATAGTCCTATATTAGCTATTAGGCTGTTTTCACTAGAATCGATGTCAGACTGACAGGCCTATGGTTATCTGGGTTGCCCTGTTTACACTTATTAAATATTGGCATAATGTTAGCTTTTCTCCAGTCTTCTGGACCTTCCCAAGTGTTCCAAGACTTATTTAAAATCAGCATTAACAGTCCAGCTCTTCTAAATTAGGCCAGCTCTTCTAAACTCTTGGATGCAATTTATCCAGACCTACTGATTTAAAAAGGTTTAACTTTCGTAGCTCCTATTTAACATCCTCCTGAATTAGTGTTGGAATGGAAAGCATTTCATCATCATCATCATCATCTGAATATATAGAATCACAGAAGTATAGAACTGGAATGGACCTCGATAGGTGATCTTGTCCAGTCCCCTGCACCGAGGCAGGATTAAGTATTATCTAGACCATCCCAGACAGGTGTTTATCTAACTTGTTCTTAAGAACCTCCAATGACAGATTCCACAACCTCCTTAGGTAATTTTGTTCCTAACTGTAAGGGCAGTTAGGTACTGGAAGTTTTCTTAATGTCTGACCTAAATCTCCCTTGCTGTAATTTAAGCCAATCTTCTGTATAGTTAAGACTCTTATCGCCTCCCCTTTCAGTCTTCTCTTCTTCAGGCTAAACAAACCCAATTTTTTCAGTCTTTCCTCATAGATCATGTTTTCTAGACCATTTTTGTTGCTCTCCTCTGGACTTCCTCCAATTTGTGCACATCTTTCTTGAAGTGTATGATACCCAGAACTGGACATAGTACTTCAGTTGAGACCTCTCCACTGCTGAGTGGAGTTGAAGAATTTCTTCTCGTGTCTTGCTTACAACATTCCTGCTAATACATCTCAGAATGATATTCACTTTTTTTTAAAATTGTTGACCCATATTTAGTTTGTGATCCACTATGACCCCAGATTGTTTTCAGCAGTACTCCTTCCTAGGAAGGCACGTCCCACTTTGTATTTGTGCAGCTTATTTTTCATTCCTAAATATAGTACTTTGCCTTTGTCCTTATGGAATTTCATCCTGTTTATTTCAGACCATTTCTCCAGTTTGTCAAGATCTTTTTGAACTCAAGTGCTGCGCACCAAAGTAAATCATCTGTCTTTTTCCCCAAATACAGAACAGGAATATTTACTGAACGCTTCTCCTTTTCTGTGTTAATATTGACAATTGTACCTTTTCTGTCTAGTAATGGACCAGTATTATTATTATTATTATTTATTTTATTATTCTGTGTTTTATAGAGGAGGGTTTTGTAGTAGAGTTTCAGAAGTCCTGTGTACCTCTGAACAAAAAGGAAGTAGGAACACAAGAAGTAAACCTAAATGGCAAGTTTCAAGAGAGTATTTGAACCAAAAAAATACCTTTCAGAATATGGAAATCTAAGCCAACTAACTCCATTAAAAGGAGTCTAAACTCCAGAAGGTAATATGTAAGAAAAATTAAGAGGGCTAAGATGGAATCCAAAGAGGAAATAAGTGAAGATCTAAAATCAAACAAGAAATTCTTTAAGTATATCAGAAGCTGGAAAGCCGGTGAAGGCATCTGCTTTATCACCAAGAATTAAAAGGAACAATTAAGGAAGATAAGGACATTACTAAGAAGCTAAATGATTACTTTGCATTAGTCTTCACAATAGGGGATATACCTAGGGGCAGATTCTTGGTGTAAATTGTTACAGATCAACTGAAATCAATAGAGCTACGAAAGTTTACACCAAGAAAACCTGTCTCTTAGCCTGCCCTTTAGCAAAGATGAGGTACTATCAGCTTCAGTAACTCGGCCAGAGTCTTACATGAATGGGTGGATGAGGTTCTGTGGCCTACAGCGTGCAG